GGTAGAATTTTGAATTTCACACAGATACAATTTTGAATTTTACCTTCACGTTTGCGTCTCCTGCACAGACAACTGCACTCCTTGCTTCATTAAATTACTTATCTGGGTCGTTCTTCCATCCAATCATCGCTCCAACACAACTCTGCCAGGTTCTCAGACCCCAGAGCTGGAGTTCAGCTGGCATCTCTGTCAGTCCCCACTAGCGAGTCCACCACTTCCCAATAGAAGTTTTGAGCAAATCCGTTTTCATCCTGTTAAAACAAAGACATTGTAGCTTTCAACGTAAGTGGCCCACTGAACTCTACATTTTACATAAAACAGTATGAAATATCACCTTAAAACGGGTAGGGAGTAGTCCTGCTTTACAGGGCACGAAAGAAATTGCACAGGTTCAGAATTCAGAAAATACAAACTGTGAGGCACGCGGACAGGAGTAGGGGCCCAGCTATCATCCCTGGCGACGCTGACCCTGGTCATCCTGGGGCTGGGCTCCACCTCCAGTAGGCAATGTGCTCCAGCATCGGTTCCGCCACTTTTCCCACCGGACAGGCCACACCCTCGTTTAGGCCGCAGTGCATTTCACGCGCCTTCCTGGAGCTCAGCCCAAACCAGCCCAGATGCTACGTCCGAGTCTAACCCCGTTCATGCTCCGCGCTTCGGCCCGGCCACGCCCTCTCGGTGTCCCCGGAGCTCCAGGCGCCCCAAACCCCGCCCAGCGCCCGCCGCGCCTCGCCCCGCCCCCCGTGAGACGGAGCCGCGCACGCGCAGTTACTTCCGGACCCGGAAGCAGCTGGTGCAGAAGGAAGGTAACCGTGGAGTCTGAGACCTTTGGTCTTTCTCCTTTAAACCTCCGCATCTCAGCCCACAGCCCTGCACGTGTGAAGCCCGAGGGCGGAGGAGACCTTGAAACCCCGAACCCGCCTCCCATCGGCGGTAAGTCTCGCGTCCCGGTGAGACCTCTGACCCCGAGGGCTTCGCTGCGGGTTTGAGACCCGCTTTACCTTTGGCTGAAACTGTGGAGCCCTCTCTGCCTGCGGTCTGCCTTCCCGGGGCCCCTGCGCCGGCCCGCGCGTGGTTTTCCTGCTAAAACCGTTCACGGGCCAGGCCTCCGCCCCAGGCCATTAAACTATTGGGAGATGGAGTCAAACCCTCTCTCCCTCCGCAGCCTCGCAGTTCCCAGCCTGTAGAGCCGGATTCCTCCCTGGCCTGGGAGTATAGACACCCCCGTTTCCAGTCCCCCCCCCCCACGCCCCACTTAATGAGTATGAGGCCCGATGCCGAGTAGTGTGCACGTTTCAGTAAGGTGGGATGTAGGACAGAAGAACACGGGGTGTCCCAGGAAGCTGTCACCTCCCCCCACGCAGGGATTGGCTTCGTGGAAGGCGTGACTGCGACTGGGTGGCCCTGAAAGGGGCGCAGTGCAGGTGAGTGGGAATCAGAGAAAGATATAATGAGAAGAAATAAAGTAGTGAGAGAGCAGAAAGGTCAGTGAGGGGGCCCATAAGGAGTCCGCAAAATTGAGGACGTGTAAGGTCTTTGCAAATCGACTGTAAGTATGAAAGAGGAACTCGGGAAAGTGGTAAATGGAGAACAAGTAGAGACCCATGGAGGAAAGTGGGGAGCTCTAGAGACGTGAAGGGGAGCAAAGGGTGAGGAGCCCTTGGTTAGCAGAGATGGGGCCCCGAAGGGCGAGGCCCTTGAGATGGAGAGAGTCAGGAGAAAAAGTTGGATGAGGCCAGTGCTGGGACTGGAAGGGAGGAAAGGATGACCAAGCCCAGCAAGAATCAGCACTCTGAGCTGTGCCAGGCGGCGGTGCCAGGGAGGCTGGCAGGAGAGGTGGAACCAGAAGGGAAGCAGAAGGGACACTGGGATGGGGGGAGAAAGGCGAAATGTATGGAGGTGGAGAACAATCAGAGAGATTAGGGAGAAAGGGCTACTGAAGGCGACGGTTCCAGCAATTTCACGGAATGGGAAAAGGAAAGGAATAGAATAAAGGGGAGAGGGGAGACAGGAGCGAAGGGGGAACACAGGAAAGGACAGCGGAGAGAAACAAAGGAAAGAGAGCGACCTAAACGGATTGAGAAACAGAAGTGGAGGAGGAAGGGAACCCCGTTCTGGGTGAGTGGGAAACTGATGGATGTGGGTGATTACGTTGTGATGTGATGACTTGTGGCTTTATGACCTATTTAATTTAATATTTGTGTTTCAGTTATACAGATGCAAACGAGAATTGCACAAGTCTAGTTTATAAGGCTTTTTCATTTTATGTTATAAAATGATTATTTGCGTCAGCAGATAGCTTTCATTTGCAGCCCTTATTCAGCCAGAGGGGAGAGTCTTGTCTCAGTCAGTCCTGGGTCTCTTCCCATTTCCTGGGTTGGGATTAGCAAGGTGAACTGGGACAGAATGACCAAGTCTATCACCACATGATGTTTTTTCAAGGAGTATTAAAAGTGTTGGTCTTTTATAGTAAGTGTGTATTCAGTTAAATAAAAGATTGGGTTAACTCAAATTTGTGATTTAATGATTAATTGTTTGAAAATTATAAAGTTATCAAAAATAAATCCAACCAGATCAGTATAGAGAACAGATTAATGGTTGCACTGGGTTAGGGATGGGAGTTGTCAGGAGGGGTGACAAGTTAAGGATCTGGTTTGTGGTCCCTGATTTAAACAAACCTACCTGTGTGATAAAATTTCATAGATATATACACACACACACACTTACACACCGACCCACGTAAATTTACCATGTAAGGGTTCAGTTGGGTCTCTCAAAAATATGTTGAAATCGTATCCACTGCCTTGGGATATTACTCTATTTAAAGAAAGAATCCTTAAAAAAAATAATCAAGTTAAATTAAAGACATTAACAGTGGGCCCTCCTCCAGTATTCCTGTTGTCCTTATTAACACGGGAAATCTGGTCACAGAGATATGCATAGAGGGAAAAGGTATTAATTTTTTATTTCCAAAAACAATGTTAATGAGAAATAATGACTTGGGACTATAGATTTGCTTCTCTGCAGTTAAAAGCATAAATTTCTATATGAAGATTTAGAACTGCTTTAAGGTTTTATTATAGTCAATCTGCTGTGTTTCAGGAATTTGTTTTTTGTTTCTTTCATAATAATTATGTTTGTTAAACTATAAAATTTAGAGTTTATTTTAATTTAATCATATTTTCTTCCTCAAATTTAAGAATATGACTACTAACCTTATAGATATTTAACTTATGTGTCATAGTAAGTACTTTTAATGTATAAACACGGTATAAATACAGGTTCAGAATTCTCACAATAGAGTCAAACCCATACGAACAAATTTAGAGGAAAGATTAGCGATGCCACAGGCAGAGGAGAGTGGAAATGGGAGTTGCTATTCAGCGATACAGATTTTTCTTTATCAAAGATGAATAAGTTTCAGAGATCCACTGTACAACATTTTGCCCGTTAACACTATTGTATTGTACACTTAAAATTTCATTAAGCCTGGCCAGTGTTGCTTAGTAGTAGAGTGTCGACCTATGAACCAGGAGATCGTGGTTCAATTCCGGGATAGAGCACATGCCCAGGTTGCCGGCTCGATCCCCAGTATCGGCCTACGGGAGGGGGTCTCTCTTATCATTGATGTTTCTATCTCTTTCTTCCTGTCCCTTCCTCTCTGAAATCAATAAAAATATATATTAAAATATTGAGACGGTAGATCTCATGTGAAGTGTTCTTACATTAACAAGAGCAAAGATTAAAATGTGTTTGGGGGTACAGTTAGGGAAAGTGAACATGAATGTGATGCAATCTCAAGTCTTGACAGGCTTCTAGAGTATGCTCCTTTACTTCATTTGCAAATACAGCTGTGATGGAAACCCTTTTCTACCCCTTGTCTCTTAGGGATTGAGGCTCCATTCACCTGTGGACAGGGGATTGGGGAGATTGTCCTGTTATACCACGTAATCCATGGGAGGGGTGTGGGCAAAGAACTGGGGGCTTAGTGGCATTTTGGAAGGTTTTTGAGGGCAGGATTCTTGCAGAACCCTGTTGTCACCAAGTTTTCTCTTCTCCCCTGTTGCATCTGCACAGTAGCTACAGGCCTGGCCAAACCCATTCCAGGACAACCCCATCTCTAGGGATCCACCCTGGGAGGCTGCCCTCTAGAACAGCGGTTCTCCACCTTCTGGCCCTTTAAATACAGTTCCTCATGTTGTGACCCAACCATAAAATTATTTTCGTTGCTACTTCATAACTGTAATGTTGCTACTGTTACGAATCATCCTGTAAATATCTGATATGCAGGATGGTCTTAGGCAACCCCTGTGAAAGGGTCGTTCGACCGCCAAAGGGGTCGCGACCCACAGGTTGAGAACCGCTGCTGTGGAAGTTCCTGCCCCAACCCCTCACACTATGCACAGCACTCAGGTGTGTTGGGTCTAGTCGTATCTCCAGCCCAGTGCTACCTACAGCAGGTCACCTCCACCAGAGCACTAAGTAAAGATGCTATTTCATGGGCCTCACTGCAGCTCTACAGAATCATAACTTTTTAGAGTGAAACCTTGATCCCCACGGTTCTGTGTGCACGTTAAAGCTGCAGAAGAAATGCTTCGCTAGGTGGTCCCCTCCCATTCGACCACTTGACGAGTTGTAAGAAATAACACTGCCTGTGCCTCCCCCTCAGAGTTGAACAGCCGGTCTGGGTAGAACATCGTGGTCATTTTAGTGTGGTGCTCCAGGTGATTCAAAAGTGTGGCCAGGGTTTAGCAGAAGGGCTCCCTGCCCCAGTGCATTTGTGAGAGTTGACAATGGGCTTTGGTCCAGGGTCCTCTCTTGGGTTTGGGAGGAACAGAAGTGCAGCCCACTTTCTCATTGCTGGGTTGGAATTTGGGCGTGTCTGTTGGAGGGGAGAGCAAGAGAAGACAGGAGAGAAAAATGGTTTGGTCTTCATGTAGCATCTCATTGTTTCTTATTCTCTTCTGTGTCAAAGGGCAGAGGAGTGTGAAATTTTTCATCATTCAAGTCCTTCTGCCTGTGAGTGTGGTGGAAGCACGGCATATCCTCAAGATGCAGGTGTGATTGGTCAACATAAAGTCGCCTGAGAAAACAGCCCAGAGCAGGAGGAGGAAGAGGACAGTATGGCTGCTTCTCAGGTAAGCGCTCTGTCTTGGCTCAGTTCTGTGTCTGCTTTTCCTTCCAAAGTTCATGTATTTAGATGGTGCAGACCTTTGTTTCTCTATTTCTGATGATCCTGCAACATGAATCTTCTTTTCAACTGCTTACTTTTTTTTCTTGTGATTGTGACTGTCGCTTGGGGTTATGGGTTCCCCAAGATAGAAATCAAGAGGAACCTCTAGAGATATATCTTGGGAAATTTTCTTAGGCTTATGCCCGATCATAAGGGAGACAACACAGAAGAAAGGAAGGGCCTCTGAGCTGCTGAGAGGCTGGCGCTGCTTGGCGGCCCTGACAAGCTTGGGACACATAGGAGGGTGGTTTGAAAAAGGCCTGCTGGTGGAGATTTCCATTTCAGGGTGCAGTTACTTCCTTTTCCATCGGGGTTGTCTGGTTGTTAGCACCTGCGCTGTGGGGGAGAGATGGCAGCGTAGTCACTAGAGCCACCTGAAGAAGGTCATGTAGCAGTCAGCCTTCATCAACTGCTCATGTGGGTCAGCAGTTTCAACATCTGCAAGGAAGCAGGCCTTTAGGAGGGAGATAAAGTCAGCTACCTCTGCGTTTTGTCCACAGCTTTCTGTCTATTGTGTCCATCCAAGTCCCCCATAGGAATCTCACCATAAATTGATGACCATTGTGTGGGAGGAAGATACTTTCTTCTACTTTCAAGGTTCTCCCAGCTGGCCTAATCAGAAAGGGGATATGTATGGGAGCTGCACACACATCACAGAGTCAGAGACCCCACATGCAAGAGAGGTTCAGAGATTGACAATGAAATTTAGCATATAAGACATTCTGAGCCTGGGATGAGGTAATGCACCTTGGGACTTTAGAATATTGTTGCCAGGAAATCACATTTCAGGAAATACTAGTTTCCTTACCATCTAGGTAGGTCAAATGTCATGTTTGGTTTAACATATATCAGAGGTCAGGCTCATCATTTAAATTCTTCTAGGTAGTTCCGGTGGAGAGCAGAAGTTTCTCTTGAACCCAAATTTCTTGATGCCTTCAGCTCAACATACCATTGAAGCACATCTTAGGGTGCCTTGTTCTGAACCCCTATCTTCAACTTTTCAAAATATTTTCTTTGCCACAGTTCAACATGGGAAGGCATTGTTATCCGAGCTCCCATTGAGATGGCTTTTGCAGAAGGGACATGTAGGTTTTACATTTTGTATGTGTGCAACATCTGCTGTGCAGAACAGGATTGAGACAAAGCACCTTTAACCAGGATGGCCTTAGTGGCCCGGATTAGATCAGAAAGTTCTGAAAAAGAAAACTCGTTAGCAGAGACTTGCTCTCTACATTGGCATGGAAGTCTTACTTTTTAAATGCACTGTGAGATTTATAACGTACAGGAGGTATTTGTGGAATGAATTTTGTATGAAATGGGTGTTAGTGATGATGTGTCCTTCTGTCACCTGATGTCACTTACTTTGCAACTGATTTTCATTTGGTAGAAGTGTTTTCTGCCCAATTCCTGAACTATAGAGTTAAATTTTTTTTTAAATAAGGGTGTCAAAAGTTTTTTGAGATTTATGCATAAACAATCACTTTTCTTCTGGAAACTTTGATGGCTTTTCAGTTTTGCTTTATTTGTAGGTTGCTTTGTTGTTGTAGTTCACTGGAGATACTTGCTTTGCCCTAGACCTGTAAATTCTTATTGTATTTCACCGACTTATCGCAGATACACTCTTCCTTATCAGTGCTTTGTATTTTCAAAAATGTTTACAAGCATCATAGTAATGGATGTTCTAGTGTGTTAAAATTATAAAATACAGATCAGCATCAAAGATAAATTTCATCAGAAAAATAAAAGGCTAAGAAATAATAGTACTAATATTTTTTATCATGGTGTGTTTACCTCCCTTTTGTGTTCATAGAATACAAAGACAGTCATTCACAAAGATTTGTGACATTGATACATTGACATTAATGTTGATTTTATTGCAGGGTAATTTTATTGACATGAACATTTTATTTTGTGTCACATTTAATTTGTACATTGTTTCCATTTTTATGTCTGCCCCTTTACAGAAAATGTTAACATTATTTGACCTTTTCTTATTTCTTACCTTCTTATTTCTATTCTTTACAGTTACAACAGCTGTGTATATTCATGAGGGTTGTGTCTGTGTACTGGTCTGTGGTCTTTTTGTCAAATTCGAGGTAAAGTTTGGAATAACACCCAGGCTCTACTGTTTTATGGATCTTTTACAAAATATTTTCATAAAAAAGAATGAATAGTCATGGCTCACTTGGTTGAGCGTTGACCCATGCACTGAGAAATTACTGGTTCCATTCCCTGTAGGGCACATGCCCAGGTTCAGTGCTCAGTCCTTGGTAGTGGGTGTGCAGGAGTCCACTCATTAGTGTTTCTATCCCATCGATATTTCTGTTTCTTTGTCCTTCCCCCCTTCTCTCTCTCTAAAAATCAATAAAAAACATTAAAAAAATGAACAAGAATGTTATTGTTCTTTGAATACTTTTGAGATTTATTAATTATTTATATATAAATAACTGTTAAAACAACTGTGGTTGATAGGCGTACTATTCTGTGACACCTGTAAATTCCATAAAATTGTTCAGTCAAAATCTTGTGTATGAATTTTTTTCCTGTGTTTTCTTCTGTAGTATCCAAAGATACGGCACATGTATCAGCACGTTGGTATCCATTGTTACAAGTGAGCTGGTTAAACAGATAGAAATTCAGGCCCCCCCGGAACTCATTAAAATTTTACAAGTACTACACTGTGCTCACTCCGAATGACTTCTCCAGCTAAGAAATATGTACAGTTGATCCTCTATGATTCAAACATAGCGCTCAAAAATGGATATGCCTGTGTTGATGCCTGTATTTTTAAAATTTATCTTTCAGAAAAGTAAAACTTCTACTGTGGTTTTGTGGATCATATGCCATCTTCCTTTCTAAAAATACATTAGAGAATATTAATGTCAAAGTGATGCTGTTGGATAACTCAGGATACTGTCCTAAGTCTCAACCGGTTCTATTATCTTTTCATTTTGGGTGGCTTCATGACCTCTTCCCATGGTCAATTGATTAATGCTTTTCTTTTAATTTCCTTTTAATTTCAGGGGCAGTTGACCTTCAGCGATGTGGCCATAGAATTCTCTCAGGAGGAGTGGGCGTGCCTGGACCCAGCTCAGCGGGAACTGTACAGGGACGTGATGTTGCAGAACTACAGGAACCTGGTGTTCCTGGGTGAGGACCACGTCCTTCCAGAATTTCTCCTCTACACGCAGGGCGTTGTTGTCTTCATTAGTACAGTGTCTGCTTGTAGCTTCTGCTCTTTTATGATAGAGTTTCAGATCCGTGTTATTAAGGAAAGCAACTGGGGTTTTGCTGGTGTAGAACAAAAAGGCTTCCTGATGTATTTGGAAGTGGAACTCAAGATTTGAAAACTTTAAATGTTGTCTCCAGTATAGTTAAAGGTTCTGTCAGAAAATAATATTTTGGAAAATAATTTTTTATGATATTCTGGTATTCTACAATGTCCTTTCTTCTTACTTGAGCACATAGCTGGATTGGAAATTGGAGATTCTCCATTGAACCCATGCTTCTTTTTTTTGTAAGTTTTTGGTTGTTGTTGTTTTTAATATATTTTTATTTGATTTCAGAGAGGAAGAGAGAGGGAGAGAGAGGTAGAAATATCAATGATGAGAGAGAATCATCGACTGGCTGCCTCTTGCACATCCCTTACTTGGGATCAAGCCTGTATCCCAGGCATGTGCACTTGACCGGAATCAAACCAGGGACCCTTCAGTCCTCAGGCTGACACTCTACCCAATGAGCCAAACTGGCTATGGCCCATGTTCCTTTTTCTAATAAACAGGTGTGTCTAAACCAGACCTACTCACCTTTTTGGAGCACATGAAGGAGCCCTGGGAGTTGAAGGGAAAAAAGACAATACCCATCCAGCCAGGTAGGTGGGAATCAAGGAAACAGCTGAACCAGGTGAGAGGCGGAAGATCAGATATTATATAATGGTTTGGAAACATCTGCTTCAATGGAACTAATTTTTGAGAGGGTCACGTTTATTTCTGTTTCTGTCTTAGAGGGACAGATCCTCTCCAACACTTACTCACCAATATCATCTAAGGATTCTTTTTCTGCTTCCATCACATTTGCAGTGAGAGCCAAAGTCTTCTTGTAACAGTGTAAGGGTGGCATGACCTGGCTACTATTGGATTTCTTGGTGAACTTGGGGAAGTCTGTACATGTTGCTGATGAATTTTATGTTAAACTAGTTTTAAAGTTCTGTTTTCTGCCCCATGTAAGTAATTTGGGAGGGAAGTGGTTGAGATACTGGAATTTGGTTCCCACATCCCAGGAACACTGTGGGTCAGTGTCCAAGTTGTCTTATTCTTCCTTTTGCTTGATGAAGTCTTTTTCTGATGTTTCTATTGTATATTTCAATTCAGGCACTAACTATTCTTCAGCTCCCTATATCTGTTTGGTTCTTTCTTATACTTTCTGTCTGCTTGCATTTTTATTATTGTCATGCCTAATTTTGATGGCAATAATTAGTTCTGTATGTTTTTCCAATTGAGCCCTTTTAAGGTGTTCTTTTTTCTCTCATATCTTTGTCAGGTAATTAACATATGTTCATTATCTTAGGGCCAACTTACGGAGATTTATTTTGTTCCTCTGGTTGGATTGTTTCTCTGGTTCTTCATTTCTGTTTCTTGTGATCTTTTGTTGTGATCCCATTCTTTATAAACTTGCTTTGTATAGGAGAACAAAAATAACTATCAGCTGTGGTAGGTTTTTAAAGGCCTGTCACACCTATTCTGGAAAGTGTAATTGGTGTGTGGGTGTGTATGTGTGTGTGTTTAACTCACTTTTAAAAATTTTCTATTGTAGTTGCCAATATAATATTAGTTTCAGGTGTACGCCCCAATAATTAGACATTACATAGTTTCTGTGCTGGAGCCACTTAGCCAGAGTTATGGGGGGGTACACTGGGGCCAGATCCTGCTTGTTTGAGACATTGTTGTAAAGACTGAAGCATAAGACAATTTAGGCTGTTTGTATGGAATAGCCACTGGAAACAGCTTTGGTGGTCCCACATGTTGATGGGGTGAGGTGTCAGGAAATCTTCAGGGTGTGGTGAAAAGTGTGAGCCAAATTGATGGAGACTCAGCTGTGGCTCCTGTTTGCCAGCTATGTGGGTGAAAGGCTCAGAAAAGAAACAATGGCTTCTACCAAGACTTATGCCTGGGAGAAAGCTCCTTCTACAGCCCTCATCCTTCAGGTCCAACCTGTATGTCCCTGGTACCATTCAGGCTGCTGCCACAGCACTGGAGCTCACAGGGCATGAATCTGAATAAGTCAGAGCATGAGCCCTTTAAGAGGAATTGCCTAGGACTCCATCAGCTCTCCATCTCATTCAACCACAATCCTTGCTAGTTTTTACAGCCAGAGTAATGGGAACATCTCTTCTTGGCATTGGAACCCGGGGCTAGAGGGCCTTCTGTGGGCTGTGACCCTTCACTCCTCAGATGCAACCTCTGAAGCCGATATGCCACTGGTGATTTTTATCCACCATGTGAGCCCAGTCCATTCTGTGACATTGCACCTCCTACCAGTCTGGATAAGCCTTCTTTATGTCCTTAGTTTTACAACTTCATTCAGTTAGGTTTCAGTCAGTTCTGAGAGATGGTTTTCCTGTAGTCCAGTTGTATTTTTTTTTATGTGGTTGTGGGAGGTTGCCAGTGCCACAGTTACCTACACCTCCATCGAGACCAGAAGCCTGCGTGTGTGAGTTTTGTGTAACTTTCCAGTTTAAAACATATTTTGCTTTTATTTAGAGCCCATGATATTTTCCCATTCCTGTGTCAGAAAGAGTGAGCAGGTATTTTGGGCAAATGTACATTATTTGTTTCCGTCTTTGATATGACTTTTTTATTTTGTGCTTTCTGGTGGGTATTGTGGTCTTTGAACTGGCTTCTGAAGTACTTTAGAAGGTAATTAGATCAGTAATTGTTGGTAAGTTAACATTTCCATGGAGGAAGAAAGTTTTTGTGCTTCCTGTTCTTCTATCTCACTGAAGTCTTCTTACAGGTATTAATTCTGTACATTAAAATTTAAAGAATATTTACCTGCGTGTATTTTCTAATTAATTTGTTATATTTCAGCTATATCTTCTCAAGTTACCCAAGGTTTCTTGTCAAAGTCAGGTGTAGAAGTGTCATTCCAGAAAATGTTACAGGTAAGATATAGCAGATATGGCATTGAGAATTCACACTGAATGAAAATTTTGTAATGTGCAGGGGAATATGAAGAGAAAAAAATCTTGTGAGTCATGATCTTGCCCCAAAGTGGGGCAATTACCCTCTACTTGACAACAGTTACATTGGCAGAACAATGTGTTTCTGTACAAAAAAAACTTTAAAAGTATGTATTCTCTGCTCTGGCTGCAGTGACTCAGTTGGTTGGAGTGTCACCCTGAAATGTTGTGGGTTCAATGCTTGTTGGAACACATGTAGATTTAGGGTTCGATCTCTGGTCCGGGTGTAGGCAGGAGGCAATTGATCGATCTTTCCCTCTCATCAATTTTTTTTATCTCTTTCCGTCCCCCCTTTTCTGTCTCTAAAAATCAATAAACATGTTCTCATGTGAAAACTAAAATAAATAAAAATGTATGTATATTCTCTGAAGTAAAATTTCTAATATTAGAAAAGTCACCTAGTCCATTGTGCAAATAATTTTTGAATGATTTAATGTAGCATTTGATTAAACAGTCAAATATTACTACAAATGAGATATTTTAAAAATGAAGGTACAAAGAGATCAACCAAAGGACTTGTATGCATGCATATAAGCCTAAGCAATGGACACAAGACACTGGGGGGTAGGGGTGGCCGGGGGAAGGTCAAGGGGGGAAAAAAAGAAGATATATATACTACTCTTTGTAATATTTTAAGCAATAAAACAAAATTTAAAAAATAATGAAGGTACAATTTATAAATGAATTTGTAAATCCCTTAACCAATTTTGTATTATTGTTTCATGGGAAAATAGTTCTTTTTCCAGAGTTTATAATTTTCATAAATGTGGGAGGATATATATACAACCATCATGGTGTCAAAATAGGTAATTGAGAACAATTGTAAATGTGTAATGATATTAGAGCCCTCACTAAAAGTTTTTCTCTCTTAAATTATTATCAGAGTACATATAATGAAGAGAGAAGTCACCAATGCAATGAATCTCAGAAAAACTTTAACCAAGGGTCAAATTCTAATAACCATCAAAGAGCTCAGCTTCCACAGAACAAGTATAAATTGCCTAAAGTCTTTGAAAAAAACTCAAATATTTTTATACCTCAGGGTATTCATACTGTAGAGAAAACAGAAAGTTTTAGTGAATGTGCCAAGTCTTCCAACCAATCGTCAAATCTTACTGAACATAAAAGTACTCATATTGAGGAGGAGTCTCTCCCATGTAATCACTACGTGAAAGTGTTTAGTCAGTCTTCTAAGTTAAATATACATAAGGAAATCCATACTGCAGAGAAGCCTTACAAATGCAAAGAATGTGATAAAGCCTTTAAGTGGCAGGCAAATGTTATTTTACATCAGAGAATTCATACTGGAGAAAAGCCTTATAAATGTAGAGAATGTGGCAAAGCTTTTATCCAGAGCTCATATCTTACTCGACATCAGATAATTCATTCTGGAGAGAAGCCTTATAAATGTACTGAATGTGGCAAAGCTTTTAGCCACTGTTCAAACCTTAGCCATCATCAGAGAATTCATACTGGACTAAAGCCTTATAAATGTAGAGAATGTGGTAAAACCTTTATCCGGAGCTCAAGTCTTACTCGGCATCAGATTATTCATTCTGGAGAGAAGCCTTATAAATGCAGAGAATGTGGCAAAACTTTTATCCAGAGCTCACATCTTACTCGACATCAGATAATTCATTCTGGAGAGAAGCCTTATAAATGTACTGAATGTGGCAAAGCTTTTAGCCACTGTTCAAACCTTACCGATCATCAGAGAATTCATACTGGAGAGAAGCCGTATAAATGTAGAGAATGTGGTAAAACCTTTATCCGGAGGTCAAATCTTACTCAACATCAGAAAATTCATTCTGGAGAGAAGCCTTATACATGTAGAGAATGTGGTAAAGCCTTTAACCAGGGCTCACAACTTGCTAAACATCAGAAAATTCATTCTGGAGAGAAGCCATTTAAATGTGAAGAATGTGGCAAAACCTTTACCCGGGGCTCACATCTTACTCAACATCAGAATATTCATTCTGGAGAGAAACCCTATAAATGTACAGAATGTGGCAAAGTCTTTAGCTGGTATTCAGCCTTTTCCAAACATCAGAGAAATCACTCAGGACACAAACTCTTATAAATGTGCAGATGTCAAAATGCCTTCACATCATATTTAAACATTTATAGCATCAGAGGACTCAACTAGAGAGAAGCCTTAGAAACAAAGAATGTGGCAAAGCCTTTACTCATTGCTCAAATCTTACCAAATATATGAGAATGCATACCTGAGAGAAGCTTTACAAATGTGAAGAGTATGACAAAGCCTTTAACCTTGCTATTGCTGTACTCAATATTGGGAAATTTATAGCAAATAGAAGCTATATAATAAAAGCCTAGGCAACGCTTACAGCAGAAAAACCAGAATGACTGGCTACTATGATGTTCACTGACCACCAGGGGGCCAATGCTCAACATAGGAGCTGCTCCTTGGTGGTCAGTGCGCTCCCACAGGGGGAGCGCTGCTCAGCCAGAAGTCGGGATCACGGCTGATGAGCACAGTGGCAGTGGCAGGAGCCTCTCCTGCCTCCATGGCAGTGCTAAGGAGCAGCAAGGGAAGTGGTAAAGAGCAGCGAGCAGGCAGGCGGTAGCTGCAAGGGGTCCCAGACTGCAAGAGGGATGTCCTGCTGTTGGCTTAGGCCTGTTCCCCACAGGGAGCGTGCCTAAGCCAGCAGGTGGACATCCCCTGAGGGGTTCCGGGCTGTGAGAGGGCACTGGCCAGGCTTAGGGGACTCCCCCACTCCAGTGCACAAATTCTGTGCACCGGGCCACTAGTATAAATATAAAGAATATGGAAAAACTTCCAACCATTGCCCAAACCTCACTGAATATCATACCAGAGAGAAACCTTACAATGGAGAGAATTTGATAACACCTTTACCCAGTGTTGAAACCTTAGTCAGTATCACATAATTTATGCTTTACTGAAAGAATACAAATATAAACAATCTGGCAAAACCTTTAACCATTGCTCAAGCTCCAATTTACTTTAGAGCAATGGTTGCCAAGTTTTCAGACCTCATGTACCACCAGTGGTCTGCAGACCACCAGTTGGCGACCACTGCTGCAAAGGTTTCCTTAAACCAGTGGTCGCCAACCTTTCAGACCTCATGAACCACCAGTGGTCTGTGGACCACCGGTTCGCGACGGTTGCTTTAAAAATTTATAGTGGAGAGATGCCATACAAATATAAAAAGTTCAGCAGATTGTTTTCAGCATTTACTGGTACATCTTAACTGCCACATGAGTATTTTTACTGGAGAAAAACTTAAAATGTTAAAGAATATGCAAACCCTATACATGGACCTACAATCTTTCTGCATATCAGAGAATGCATACTCGTGAGAAATTCTACTTTTGTAATAAATGATAAAAAATCTTTCCTCAAAATACATACAGTGGGGCCTTGACTTACGAATGTCCCGGCTAACGAGTTTTTTGAGATACCAGCTGTCTCTGCCGATTTTTTGCATTAAGTTGATAATTTGAGTTAACGAGCTCCTTAACGAGCTTGGTCTCCGAACGAATTAAACTCATAAGTCAAGGCCCCACTGTATTTCAGAAAACCCCACAGCATTTGTACTTGAAAGTAGTAAGTCAGTAACACTTTTCAAATATGAGTTTAAATCAGAATACATATTTTAAAGACTCTAGTATGGAAAGTTACATGATTTTTTAGTATAAATCAAAATACCGCCCTAACTGGTTTGGCTCAGTAGATAGAACGCCAGCCTGTGGACTCAAGGGTCCCAGGTTTGATTCCGGTCAAGGGCATGTACCTTGGTTATGGGCACATCCCCAGTAGGGAGTGTGCAGGAGGCAGCTGATTGATGTTTCTCTCTCATCCATCTTTCTAACTCTCTATCCCTCTCCCTTCCTCTCTGTAAAAAAATCAATAAAATATATTGAGATCAAAATAAATCAGAATACCAAGGGGATGAATATTAGGACAAATGTAATTGTCTCCACTGAATCCTTTTTTATTGCAACAGTTATTTGTGGCTTTTTTAAACAAAAGTATTCATGTGATTTCTCTCTCAATTCATTTCATGATCTTTGAATGCTTGTAATGTCTATTTCAACCCAAGACAATACATGTGCTATGAAATACTTTGTTTAGACAATGTGTGGACTTAATATGTTCATTAATAAAGATGAAGTAATTGAAATATGTTAACAGTGATGTGTAATGAATGAGGTGTTGACTTGCCATCAGTCTTAATGTTTCCCGCCTTATTCACCATTGTGGGTAACAATTTGTAATGCAGTGGAGTGACATTTACTCACAGGCCTTAAACCTTAAATAATGTGTAAAGAGTTTACCCATAATTTATTTTTTTATTCATTGTACCTGCTGGGACATTATGATGGTTACAAAAAAATATGTAGTGAGAGTATTGTTGTGGGTTTATATAAAAGTCTGTGGTGTTTCAGCATTATCATTTATTTTGTGTAGTTAAAGAACGGAACTCCCATGAATCTCTAGTGCATACAGACACAACTTACAGTGTCACAAGTGAATGTAAGTTTTGATATGATTTCTCCAGCAGTCCTTGTGAACAGTAGTCTTTTGTGCACCCCAGGGCCTTCAATTTGTATGCCCCTTAGGTAAGGTTTCTGAAGAGCTAGCCAAACGTTGCTGATTTTGCTGCTGCTGTTGCTTCACCACTCACCGCCCTCTGCCGCCAGTCACCAGTCCTGCCCTGCCACCACCCTCACCTCCCCCCCCCCATTTGCTGTGGTTCCCCGTTCGCGATTCTGCAATTGGAGCCTGCAGGGTGGGGGTGGGGGGAAGGACCGAGAGGTGGTAAATG